TTAATAGAAAACAAGTGACAAATAGATGACAATTACATTGATTGGCGAGTTGTAGTCGTTTGAGAGTATTGGCCAACCAATTGACGAACTGATCCGTCTCTGCGCCCAAAAACAGCGACAAATCGTCTTTCATCTGATATTTGGACTTTTGATTGGCGACCAAAACCATTATATAATCCGCTAATTCATTGTCTGTTCAAATCATATACCGATTAATACAACAAAACACAACACAAATGGTGGTAATGGATGGCCAGACAATCATCTGTACAACTGATCCATACCTACAAACGCCCCGATTTGGTCCAGTTTTGAACGAATATCCGCCTATTTTGGTAACAATTGCAGCCATTAATTATCATAAAATTGTGGATCAATTGGCAATATGTCTTCGCGAAGACAATCAATTTACTTACTCTTAACCTCTGAATCACTTCACTCTTAAAGTTAGACATTATTTGCAAACAAAAGGCTAAAACTGATCGCAAAACACAATCAAATACTAAAACCAATTGTATATCAATTAAAATATGTATAAATTTTTGATACAATTTGAATGCAATTAATGTTTTCACTAAATTGTTATCAAATGTGAAGTCAATTATGTTTTGCAATAAACGACTGAAAAAGCACTAAAACTATGGCTTAAAAGACCCCAAAAATACATTCATTTTTCCACTCATTTCCGCACAATATTATGGCAATTATGGCACAAATGATGGCATTTCCCTGTTTTGTCACTTTCATTACCCCAGGGCTGGGGTATTGTCTGCTATCCAAATGAAATACTGTACAACATTTACATCATGTACACTCATTGTTACAGTAATTAACAGTATTTAGCAATATTTGATCCAACCTTGATACTTTTCATTTTGAGCAATTAAATCTGTATTGTAAAAGTAGTACCTGTAGTATAAGTGTTATTCATAAGTGTAAAAACATTGAAACATACTATAAGTTTTACTACACTGTAGTAGCTTTCACTATCAGATGACCTAGATTGCTATTCTATACGTATCATATTTGAATTTAAATAATTAATAATTATGATTATTAATTAATTAGGAAATTATAAATATTTCATCCAGGTGTTTTAGATCCGATGGATTCCTTCTAGTTAGTGGGCTAAATCACAGAAATGATATTTTGACTACATGTAAAGACCATGATCATATTTGAATAATACTAATTATATACTAAAACTTAAATATGTATGTTTTAAAAACTACTAGATATTTCTTTTACAATACAATGTATTAAATAATGATTATAAAGTATATTTGAATGAGAATTGAATGTATTTTACAAATTATAAATAGTATAGAATCTATAGATCTTTTTATTTGATTAGTTGTAAGAATTTTGAAAATTTTTTAAACAAAAATATAAATTATTATATCGACAAAAAAAATTAAACGATATATAAATATACAACATATAAGTTGATAGCACTTCCGATTGAAAGTTTCGTTAATACTTATGGCATATAATATTAAGTATCCTTTTGTCGGCAATTTAATTGGTTTGAAATAAAATTTATTTGGTTTTGAAAATCAATTTTTTTGAGAAAACACACGACAGGAGAGAGTATAGTGTAATAGTGTTATAGTATTTAGTGGTTTCTGGAAAGTGGAGATCTCGGGAAGAGTGAGAGCACAAGGAGTATGAACTGAGCGCTTGTCAGACACTTGTGTGAAGCTGTTTGTGATGAAAGCCAATAGAAATTCTTCGTATAACTAACGGGTGAAGTGATAAAAATTTGTGCTCAAAATCTATTGTCGAGAAGAAAAGTTTTGCTTTAAAAATCATACTTACGTTTTGATTGAACCAAACGTTTCATTGCTTAACATTTGAACGAAAATGAGTGCAAAAAGTAGTGTCAGTAAAGTTCTCACGTCTACCGACTCCGAGGATTACGACGAGATTGTGGCCAAAGAAGATCCACAACGAGAACAAGTTATTCTCAGACTTAAGAAAGTCTTCAGAGAACTCCTGGAGACCATCGGCGAAGACCCAGAAAGACAGGGATTGAAGCGAACCCCTGAGAGAGCGGCCAAAGCTCTTTGGTATTTCACTCATGGATATCACGTTCGGATCAATGGTTTGCAATCATTTCATTTCATTATAATTTTCTAGAATTTATCTCATTATACATGTACTGAACTACTAAATGCCAGGTCAGGTCACCTAACTTTTCAATAACCATATTGACTTACTGTCATTTTAATGACAAACTCTCTAAGATTTTAGTCCATATTATGTTACATAACATTTGTAAAAATTGATAATATTTGCAATTATTTTTATTTAAAACAATAAATATAAAAATATATAGAATTACTACAAATTTATGTCTATAATATCGAAAATCAGAAAATAATAAAAATTCTATTTATAATTACAATTTCACAATAAATTTGTTATAAATAGAGAATAATGGAGTGAAAAATAAATTCAATTTATTTGGAGATTATAAGAATATTTAGCGATCGAAATGATGCGAAATTAGTGCTAATATTGAAAGCATTTGTTTAATGAAAGAGTAATTCATAAGATTTTTACTGCAAATGAGATGAACGTCAAGAGCAGAGCAGAGCTGATCATTCATTGATCACTCGCTTCCATACCAATAGCCATTCATTTGCTGTGCTTTTCATTATTACCTGTTGAGTGAATCCCTGAACTCAGGCAACAGTTAAGCTCTTTTCCACTCTCTTTCTCACACAATAGACTACAATAGACTAATGCACAAAATCTTAATCAAAAAAATCTCATTCAATTTATTCACTTGGTTATGAAATTATTATGATTAGTGACACTATTCTTACGATTATTGCTAAGCCTTTAATGTTTAACATAATTTCAAAGAACAATATAAGACAAACATTTATTGTATATTCATTTTAACTGTTTGAAAAGTTTCTTCGTTTAAAAAACCATGATATTTAACATTATTCAATATTAAATATTCTCTACTAATTTCTAAATGTAAAGAATAATCAATAATAAATTCAACAATAAAGGTTTTAATTGCAATGAGATTTGTGACTATAAATTTAAAAGTACTATTAGTAACCACTCAAGTAATGTAAATGCAAATTAAATGTAACAATATTTACTAAACATATAGTTTATCCCATAATAAGTATTGAGTATTTATTAATTCGTTAATTAATTATCGCCTAAAGAGCTGCTAAATTGACTGAAAAAGCACTAAAACTATGGCTTAAAAGACCCCAAAAATACATTCATTTTTCCACTCATTTCCGCACAATATTATGGCAATTATGGCACAAATGATGGCATTTCCCTGTTTTGTCACTTTCAGGGCTGGGGTATTGTCTGCTATCCAAATGATATACTGTACATTTACACCATGTACACTCATTATTACAGTAATTAACAGTATTTAGCAATATTTGATTCAACCTTGATACTTTTCATTTTGAGCAATTGAATCTGTATTGTAAGAGTAGTACCTGTATTATAAGTGTTATTCATAAATGTAAAAACATTGAAACATACTATAAGTTTTACTACAGTATATACTGTATAGTAGCTTTCACTATATCAGATGACCTAGATTGCTATTCTATACGTATCATATTTGAATTTAAATAATTAATAATTATGATTATTAATTAGGATTGTAAATATTTTATACAGGTGTTTTAGATCCGATGGATTCCTTCTAGTTAGTTGAATAAATCACATAGAAATGATATTTTGACTACATGTAAAGACCATGATCATATTTGAATAATACTAATTATATTTTAGAATAATATGCTAAAACTTAAATATGTATATTTTAAAAACTACTAGATATTTCTTTTACAATACAATGTATTAAATAATGATTATAAAGTATATTTCAATGAGAATTGAAGGTATTTTACAAATTATAAATAGTATAGAATCTATAGATCTTTTTATTTGATTAGTTGTAAGAATTTTTAAAAATTTTAAAACAAAAATATAAATTATTATATCGACAAAAAAATTAAACAATATATAAATATACAGCATATAAGTTGATAGAACTTCCGATTGAAAGTTTCATCAATACTTATGGCATATAATATTAAGTATCCTTTTGTCGGCACTTTAATTGGTTTGAAATAAAATTTATTTGATTTTGAAAATCAATTTCTTTTGAGAAAACACACGATAGGAGAGAGTATAGTGTTATAGTGTTATAGTATTTAGTGGTTTCTGGAAAGTGGAGATCTCGGGAAGAGTGAGAGCACAAGGAGTATGAACTGAGCGCTTGTCAGACACTTGTGTGAAGCTGTTTGTGATGAAAGCCAATAGAAANCCATGAGTGAAATACCAAAGAGCTTTGGCCGCTCTCTCAGGGGTTCGCTTCAATCCCTGTCTTTCTGGGTCTTCGCCGATGGTCTCCAGGAGTTCTCTGAAGACTTTCTTAAGTCTGAGAATAACTTGTTCTCGTTGTGGATCTTCTTTGGCCACAATCTCGTCGTAATCCTCGGAGTCGGTAGACGTGAGAACTTTACTGACACTACTTTTTGCACTCATTTTCGTTCAAATGTTAAGCAATGAAACGTTTGGTTCAATCAAAACGTAAGTATGATTTTTAAAGCAAAACTTTTCTTCTCGACAATAGATTTTGAGCACAAATTTTTATCACTTCACCCGTTAGTTATACGAAGAATTTCTATTGGCTTTCATCACAAACAGCTTCACACAAGTGTCTGACAAGCGCTCAGTTCATACTCCTTGTGCTCTCACTCTTCCCGAGATCTCCACTTTCCAGAAACCACTAAATACTATAACACTATTACACTATACTCTCTCCTGTCGTGTGTTTTCTCAAAAAAATTGATTTTCAAAACCAAATAAATTTTATTTCAAACCAATTAAATTGCCGACAAAAGGATACTTAATATTATATGCCATAAGTATTAACGAAACTTTCAATCGGAAGTGCTATCAACTTATATGTTGTATATTTATATATCGTTTAATTTTTTTTGTCGATATAATAATTTATATTTTTGTTTAAAAAATTTTCAAAATTCTTACAACTAATCAAATAAAAAGATCTATAGATTCTATACTATTTATAATTTGTAAAATACATTCAATTCTCATTCAAATATACTTTATAATCATTATTTAATACATTGTATTGTAAAAGAAATATCTAGTAGTTTTTAAAACATACATATTTAAGTTTTAGTATATAATTAGTATTATTCAAATATGATCATGGTCTTTACATGTAGTCAAAATATCATTTCTGTGATTTAGCCCACTAACTAGAAGGAATCCATCGGATCTAAAACACCTGGATGAAATATTTATAATTTCCTAATTAATTAATAATCATAATTATTAATTATTTAAATTCAAATATGATACGTATAGAATAGCAATCTAGGTCATCTGATAGTGAAAGCTACTACAGTGTAGTAAAACTTATAGTATGTTTCAATGTTTTTACACTTATGAATAACACTTATACTACAGGTACTACTTTTACAATACAGATTTAATTGCTCAAAATGAAAAGTATCAAGGTTGGATCAAATATTGCTAAATACTGTTAATTACTGTAACAATGAGTGTACATGATGTAAATGTTGTACAGTATTTCATTTGGATAGCAGACAATACCCCAGCCCTGGGGTAATGAAAGTGACAAAACAGGGAAATGCCATCATTTGTGCCATAATTGCCATAATATTGTGCGGAAATGAGTGGAAAAATGAATGTATTTTTGGGGTCTTTTAAGCCATAGTTTTAGTGCTTTTTCAGTCGTTTATTGCAAAACATAATTGACTTCACATTTGATAACAATTTAGTGAAAACATTAATTGCATTCAAATTGTATCAAAAATTTATACATATTTTAATTGATATACAATTGGTTTTAGTATTTGATTGTGTTTTGCGATCAGTTTTAGCCTTTTGTTTGCAAATAATGTCTAACTTTAAGAGTGAAGTGATTCAGAGGTTAAGAGTAAGTAAATTGATTGTCTTCGCGAAGACATATTGCCAATTGATCCACAATTTTATGATAATTAATGGCTGAAATTGTTACCAAAATAGGCGGATATTCGTTCAAAACTGGACCAAATCGGGGCGTTTGTAGGTATGGATCAGTTGTACAGATGATTGTCTGGCCATCCATTACCACCATTTGTGTTGTGTTTTGTTGTATTAATCGGTATATGATTTGAACAGACAATGAATTAGCGGATTATATAATGGTTTTGGTCGCCAATCAAAAGTCCAAATATCAGATGAAAGACGATTTGTCGCTGTTTTTGGGCGCAGAGACGGATCAGTTCGTCAATTGGTTGGCCAATACTCTCAAACGACTACAACTCGCCAATCAATGTAATTGTCATCTATTTGTCACTTGTTTTCTATTAAGTGATTTTTTATCAATATTAAAGCCGACGACAAAACTGTGGCCCCAATTGAAGACAAACCTGCGGTCAAAGAGTTGCCCAAATCTACGACGAGTTTAGTTCTCACCAAAAGTAAAGCCAAACATAAAAGAGTTAAGCGTTTGTCTGAAAACGACAAAAATGGTGACAATTCTAATGAGACAATTGAAGGCAAAGCAGAACCGACGACAACCGTCACCAGCGGTGCGAAGACAAGCGTCGAAACAATGGATAAGGCGTTGAGCCCACAGACCAACGACACCATCGACTCGGATGACAATAAACACGACAAACCGGAAACGAATGACAGCGAAGTTGTGCTGCGATTGAATCCCGACGGCGGAGATGTCGATGAATTACTACAGGAAAGTGATGTCAACGAAGACAATAAAATTAGTCCTAAAAAAGAGGAGATTAAAGAAGAGACTATTAACGAAGTGAAGACAACATCCGTTAGAACAACGTCTTTACGACGACAACCCGTAGCCACTGCTCCCATCTCTTCGATCGGATCCTTTGTGTCTAATAAAGCGAAACAAATTGGACAACAAGAAGATGATGTGCCCGAAGACGTGCCTAAAAAGAGACCAATGATATCGTCGGTGGCGAGTGTTGTTCGGCTGACTCAGCGTAAGCCGAGTGTTCCGAACGAACTTCAGGCCAAT